CAAGTTATCTACTACGAGTTATCTACTACGACTACAACTCACGTGACATGCTGCAGAGGAAATGTCTCTTGGGTGTGCTGCGTGTTTACACAGCAGCATCTCTGCGGAATATCTCCTACCCTGCCCTAGAACAACCAGGCAGGAGACAGCGACGATATTTCCAGTTCCTGCTCTCTTCTCGGCGCTTGCAGAGCTGAAGCTGGCCCACGTCAGGGCTTATCTTGGAAGAAAATGATCCCCTTGGCCCATCACGGGGGTATCACAACAGGAGCCGGCTGCTGGAGTCCCCCCCCCCGAGGCTTGCTGATAGAGACCTGGCACAAGCTGGTAATCTGTATCCAGGGCTTGCTCGAAAAGCTGCCAGAGAAGCTTTGGGGGAAAGCGCGGTGTTGTATCCTGTCCACCGAAAGAGCAGCCCTAGCACATAAGGCAGAGAGAAAGAAGAAGAAGAAGAAGAAGAAGAAGAAGAAGAAGAAATTGTATTTATACCCTGCCCTTTACTCAGAGTCTCACGGCGGTTTACAATCTCTGTTCCCCTCCGAAGAAATTGTATTTATACCCTGCCCTTTACTCAGAGTCTCACGGCGGTTTACAATCTCTGTTCCCCTCCCCTCAACAGACACCCTGTGTGAGGTAGGTGGGGCTGAGAGAGCTCTTTCCAGAAACTGCCCCTGAGAGAACAGCTCTGAAAGAAATTTTACTGACCCAAGGTCACACCAGCAGCTGCATGTGGAGGAGTGGGGAAATCACACCCAGTTACCCCAGATTACAGTCCACCGCTCTTAACCACTACACCAAACTGGGGGGGGGGGGGGGAAAAACAGGGAAAGCTGGAGCAGAAACCAGAAGTCCTGGAGTGCAATTCCTTCGCATGCAGCTACTGCCTCCCCCATTTTCATTTTCAAAAGCCAGCATGGCCCAACTGTTATGTACCAGTGCTGCTGAACTGACTGGGACCTTGCTCCACCTTTACGCTTAGTCACTGACTTGCTTGCTGGGGGCTGTCCCCCACCCCCGACACCATTCCTTGCTTGCAAAGGGAAGATTACCAGCCATCCTCAGTCTACTCCCATCCCGAGGCTGATTTTTTTTGGAGCATCAAGAAATGAAAACAAACGTTGGGTAGAAAATGTCATGTTTCGAAATGGGAGGTAACAGGAGGGTAAAGAATGCTGCTAAAGTATGAAAGGGGGGAAACGATCGGAAGTGCTTGTAGGTAAGGTAAGGGTGGACTGTAAACTGAATATTAGCAGTCAGTGTGATGCGGCGGCAAAAAAGGCAAATCCAGTCTTGGGTTGTATCAGAAGGGCCATGGCATTGAAATCGCAGGAGGTCGTAGCCCCTCTGTAGACCGCCTTGGTCGGGCCGCACCTGGAGTCCTGTGTGCAGTTCTGGAGGCCTCCCTTCAGAAAGGATGTGGGCAAAATCGAGAGGGTGCAGAATGAAGAGAGCGATGAGGATGATCAGGGGTCTGGAGACTGAGCCCTGCATATCTATCTATACTACACCAACAGCTGTCATCACAGCACAGAAATCACAATGCCTGGTAGCGTTAAGGTGCAAATTGGTTCTGAATGAACAGGAGAATTGCTTATTTACTTTGGTCTCGATACTCAAAACACTTGTTAAACTGCCTACTGTAGATGTTAACTTGTTTTTCCGTGTCGTTATTGTTCATATATGAAAGCTATATCCACAACTCCACATGACATTTTGTGTGCAAAGTTTTTGAAATCTGTTTATTGTAGAAAATTAATAAAAAGAATTTTAAAAAAGAAAAAAAGAAATAGGGATACAAGTTCTGTATTTTGTTTTGATAGCTCTAGGCCAGGCCAGTAATGTAGGAGGACGGACTCAGGTGAGTTTGGTAATTCCTGGCCAGTACTTTCTTTTATTTCTTTTATCACTTTGGTCCAGAACAATCTAATCTTGGGACACGCCCACCAACATTCTTGTCTGTTTCCTCTAGACATTTTAATTTTAACTATTTCTGTTTCCTGTATGAATAACCTTTGGATTCTCTGTGAGGAAAAGCTGAAGAGATTACTGAGGGGGAACATGAGAGAGGTTTATAAAGTGATGCCAGGGGTGGAGAGAGCGGGCAAGGACCAATTTCCCTCCTCCCCCCACTATTCTAGAACTGGAGGGCATCCAATGAAGCCAATGGGCAGTAGGTTCAGGGCAGACAAAAAGAAATATTCTGTTACACAGAGAGTGATTAAAATGCGGAATTCGCTGCCAGAGCACGAAGTGATGGCCACAGGAAGATACAGCTTGAAAAGGGGGTTAAAGGGATTGAAGGAGGAGAGATCGACCAGATTTTATTAAATTAAAATAAAAACAGTAGGATAAGAAACGTGGTTAAGTCAGAGCAGAACAAAGTGAGTCCAGTGGCACCTTTAAGACCAACAGTGCGTAAGCTGACACTTGGAATAAAACTTTGTTGGTCTTAAAGGTGCCACTGGAATCAAACTTTGTTCTGCTGCTTTCGGGGACTGCTCCTGAGAGGACAGCTCTGAGAGATCTTGTGACTGACCCAAGGTCACACCAGCAGCTGCATGTGGAGGAGCGGGGAACCAAACCCGGTTCTCCCAGATTAGAGTCCGCGCTCCTAACCACTACACCAAACTGGCTCTCTTTGGGGTTAGAAGGAATCACAAGAAGGAGGCTTCCCCCTCCCACCCACTCCCCGAGCAGGTTGAACTCGTGCTCTTGTTTTGCCCCCAATCCATACTGCTTCTGTGTTTTCCTCTTTTTTGTTTACTTACAAGTAAAGCCCACTGACATTTAGTTATTTATTTATCCTTGGATTTATATCCCGCCCGACCCCGAAGGCTCAAGGCGGCTGGCAAGGGCACAATGTGCCAAGATTATAACAATAAAATGCATAGTATAAAACAATAAAATCCAATAACAAACTTACAATACAAATTTACGGCGCTTTACTCCTTCATATGTTCTGGACCACCGCCTTCAGATTCCAAAAATACCTGGCAGGACCTCGCAGAGGCATCTCACGGAGTCCACAAAATGCCCCAATAAATGCACTTGTCTTTAAAGTACCACGGCACTCTGGATTTGCTACTTCATATGTTTTTGGCTGCTTCCAAACCCGGCACAATAATGTGCCTCCCCCCCAGGGCAGGAGCAAACAGGTGATGGGAAAAGGTGGGAATTATTTGGAGGAGGAGGAGGAAGAAGGAGGAGGAGGAGGAGATTGGATGTATACCCCGCCCTTCACTTGGAGTCTCAGAGTGGCTTACAAACTCCTTTCCCTCCCCCTCCCCACAACAGACATCCTGTGAGGGAGGTGGGGCTGAGAGAGCTCTTTGAGATCTGCTCCTGAGAGAACAGCTCTGAGAGAACTTGTGACTGACCCAAGGTCACCCAGCTGGTTGCATGTGGAGGAGTGGGGGAATCAAACCCGGTTCTCCCAGAGTAGAGTCCACTACGCGCTTAACCATGACACCAGACTGGCCTCGGAAACTCATGTGGATGTTCCCATTACAGGTGGAAAATTCCCATGATCCACACAGGGGAAATCCCCATGTGGAACCAGCTTTCGGTTGGTTCTTATGAATTTACAGATTGGACCCTCTTGAGCTGATCTGGTCCGTGATAGACCAAGATGGGTGCCTGTGTTTGTCTGTAGCAGGAGAAAAGAGCAAGAGTCCAGGAGCACCTGAAAGACTAACCAAATTTGTGGCAGCCGGGGAGGAGCTTTTGTGAGTCATGGCTCACTTCTTTGAATTTGTAGTAGCATCTGAAAGACTAACAAAACTTCAGATACAGCTAGAATGTGAGTCCACCTGTCCACTATCTTGGAGAGTGTTGTGATTTCAGATGTCAAATGACATTAGCAGGCCAATGACAATAGCAGGTGAATGACAATAGCGGGCATGATTGGATTAGGCATGATATGCAGAGGGGTAGTGGACTGGAGAAATCAGCATTGGTAATGGGACAGGAAAGCAAGGTCTCAATTAAGTCCAAGACAATGCCTGGAATTAATCCTCCTGGACTTAATTGAGACCTAGGTTTCCTGTCTCATTACCAATGCTGATTTCTCCATGCCTACCTACTACCCCTCTGCATATCATGGCTAATCCAATCACACCTGCTGTTGTCATTTGCCTATTAATGTAATTTGGTATCTGAAACCACTCCACTCTCCAAGATAGAAGGACAGATGGACTCATATTACAGCTATATCTGAAGAACTGAGTAGTGACTCACAAAAGCTCACCCCCTGCCACAAACTTTGTTAGTCCTTAAGGTGCTGCTGGGCTTTTGCTCTTTTCTGTTGTTGTTGTTCAGTCGCACAGTCGAGTCCGACTCTTCGCGACCCCATGGACTAGATCACGCCAGGCCTTCCAGTCTTCCGCCGTCCTCTGAAGTTGGCTCAACTTCATGTTCGTTGCATCTATGACACTGTCTAACCATCTCATCCTTTGCCGTCCCCGTCTTCTTTGACCTTCAATCTTTCCCAGCATCAGGGTCTTCTTCTCCAGTGAGTGCTCCCTTCTCATTTGGTGGCCAAAGTATTTGAGCTTCAGTTTCATTATCTGGCCTTCCAGGGAACAGTCAGGGTTGATTTCCTTTAGGATTGACTGATTTGATCTCCTGGCAGTCCAAGGGACTCTCAAGAGTCTTCTCCAGCACCATAATTCAGAAGAATCTTCTTCTTTGACCTTCAGTCTTTCCCAGCATCAGGGTCTTCTCCAGGGAGTGCTCCCTTCTCATTTGGTGGCCAAAGCATTTCAGCTTCAGCTTCAGTCTCTGGCCTTCCAGGGAACAGTCAGGGTTGGTTTCTTTTAGGATTGACTGATTTGATATCCTTGCAGTCCAAGGGACTCTTTTCTACTGGTCCACAATGAATTAAATTGGCCAAACCACCTTAAACCTAACTGTTTTCATTTCACTGGGTTGTGGGTCAGGCAAAGTTCCTAGAAGTAGATCTAATTGCAAACAATCTCTCTGTAACAACAGCAGGTACATACCTTATATCCTGTTACGAACGTCCCGTTGCTACATCCTAATTCATCCAGTGCAGGTCTCTCCCAGCCAACCAACAGAGTGCTTTTCCCAAAGGTTTTGATGATATGGACAGAAACGACGGGGGCCGGGACTCCTGAAGAATAAATGCATAGTGAACAATCTTAGCCATTCGGCTCCAAAAACAATTCGGAACCAGTGGTCTGGGAAAGACCCACTGCAAGCTCCTACTGCAATCAGAAACCATGTATTTAAAAAACGAAAAAACCTTCTGCATCTCTCTTGCCCTGATCTGAATGGCCCAGACTAGCCCGACCTTGTCAGATGAGATCTAAGGAGCTAAGCAGGCTTGGCCCCGGTTGGCACTTGGATGGGAGACCACCAAGGAATTCTGGGGTCGCTATGCAGAGGCAGGCCATGGCAAACCACCTCTGAACATCTCTTGTCCTGACCTGGACTAGCCCGCTCTCATCAGATCTCGGAAGCTAAGCAGGGTTGGCCCTGGTTGGTACTTGGAGGGGAGACCACCAAGGAAGTCCAGGGTTGCTACGCAGAGGCAGGCAAGGGCAAACCACCTCTGAACATCTCTTGTCCTGACCTGGACTAGCCCGCTCTCATCAGATCTCGGAAGCTAAGCAGGGTTGGCCCTGGTTGGTACTTGGATGGGAGGCCACCCGGGAAGTGTGAGGTCGCTATGCAGAGGCAGGCAA